TGGGGCGCGGATGACTGAAACCGCGACGTTTTTCAAACAAGAGTTTGATGCGCATTGGACGCATCGACTTTCGATCGCGGGGTAGAAATGGCAGATCGACTACGTGTTCGTAGATGTGATCGCCAACAACTTCGCCCGGACATGGAGCACTGTTGACGCACAGCAAGTCCGATCACAGAGCTTTCGATGCAGATTTTTGTTTTGTTGGCAGGCCGAGCCGACAACGACAGAAAAAGAAATTACTCATCAACTGGGCGCCCAAACTTGACGAATCTGGGAAGCCAGCGCTTTACCACAGAGGTCTCGACGAACAGCTGCCCCAACGAAGTCCTTCAGTTGATCCAACAGGAGTCGTTGTAGAAGTGGCATCGGCATCTTGGGCGAGAGCGGTCGGCACCAAGGGTACCAAGCATAGCGTTGCAACACAAGAGCTCATGAACGAGAGGCGCGATGAGCAAGACCCGCCCCGACGGCGAGACTTATCCAAAAAGATTTGGCGGTCCCTTCGGCGAGACAGACGACGCGGGCAGGAGGATGAGCTGGAGCTTTTGATATTGAAGGGATCTGGGCTTGGGGCCTTGCGGAAACTAGAGCAAAGACACAGGTGCAGAACGGGCATCAAAACTTCAAAACCGGTGTGGGAATGTGAAGACTGACGAGAAGTCGATCTGCGAATTGTTTGCGTCTTTTTAACGAGGACCTTTATCACGAGACAGAGGCTCCTGGGGCAGCTCCGCCGGAATATTCGCACGAAGTTCGAGTCAGAGACGAAGAATTGAAGGCAGCACCCAAGAAATTCAGGAATGGCAAGACAGGGGCGGATGATGTGTTGGTGGCGGAAATGTTGAAAACGGGTCACGCTGACCTTGTCACGACAATTGCAGCTCTTTTCACGGATAACCCCTGGGGCGACTTGCAACCGCCAGAAGAATGGAAATTAATAAGGTTCAGAGCGTTATTCAGAAAGGGGGCCCCACCATGCCGAAGAACTACCGGTTAACCTCGTAGTGGCTAAACTATCCAGCGTCGGTTTGTACAACCGGGTCGCCGCTGACATTAATGCAAAATCATATTGGGAACAATTGGGGTTCCGGCCTGGGCGGGAGTGCGCAGACGCAGCTCGTATCGCAAAGATGGTGATTGAACAATTTTTGGAGTGGGGGGGAGAGCTTTGGATTGCCACCCTGGGCGTGGAGAAAGCATTTTATCGTGTGCACCATTCGGCTCTTTTCGGCGCTCTTGTGCAGAACCGCATCGACATGCCAACGGTATCAGTATTGCGCCACTTGTATGTTGGAGTCAAAGGCCACGTTTCCGCGTGGCCAGGGGCAGATAGCAGGCAGTTCGACATGAGCCAGGGCGTCAAGCAGGGCGACCCGTTGTCCCCAATTCTTTCTAACTTGGTGTTGCACGGAATTCTGCAAGAAATGAACGAGGTCTGGAATAAACGCGGCTACGGCGCCAACGTCGGTCACGAGCTCAGGGGGTACCGCCTCACGCACACAGCTGTTGCAGATGAAAAGAATGGTATTGATGCTGAGGCCGCGCTCTCCAACCGGGGGTTATCCTTCCATCCCACAAAGTGTAAGGTGCAAGCGACCCGAGACGATTTCTCGCGGCGCTGGCAGGTGCCCCTAGATGAAGGATTCTCCATAAATGTTCTGCAGCCCGGGAGACCCTGGAACCCTTGGGAACGGTGCTGTCTCTGCAGGACCCTACCGGACCAGAGATCGCAAACCGGGTCGCCGTTGGATGCAGGAAGTTTTCGGCGATGAAAAGTTTGCCTCCTAACGAATCAGTTTCGACAAAGAAATTGCGCCTTTTCGAGAACGCAGAATGTATCATGTGGTCATAATAGTCTTGGGCGCCGAGGGCTGGAGAAGTAAACGCGTTCAGAGTCACGCAACACACAATGTTACGACGCATTGTTGGGTTCGCCCAGCGCAGCGATGAGCCATGGGTTGTTTGGGTGCAGAGGGCAACGTGCAAGGCCCGGCGTCTTGCCCGCGACTGCTCCGTGAAGGAGTGGGCCCTGGAACACTTCAAGAGAAAATGGCGATGGGCAGGTGAGGTGGCGAGGAAAGATAAACGATAATGTGTTTGGAAAGCTACATATTGGCGTGACTCAGAAGGGCAGGCTGCCGCCAGTGAGCTCGGCGCACTGCGTCTGCGGAGGCCGCCGTGTCGCAAATGGGCGCGGTTCGAGGACAATATCAAGCGGTTTTGTGCTGAGCAAAATTTGGGCGCGTGGGTAGATATGGCATCTGGGGAAGCTTGGCAGCAACGCCCGGGCGAGTTCGTGAACTGGGCGTCGGAGGCCAAGTTCGACTTCTGAGTCTTGCCCCGCGCGGGCCACCCTGACAGGACTTTATCCCTATCCTTATCCAGGTCTTCGAGCCGAGTCCATTCGCGATCGGCACCAGCATTCCTGAGATAGTTTTGGATGCCTTCGCGCACAACGAGCAGCGCGGCGAGCTGCCACTACAACTACAACGGCAACACCAGCCAGACCGCCAGCTTCGTCACCAGCGCCGCTGACGACCCCTGGAGGCTGGAGGTACACGAGGATGAGGGTCCGACTCCCTGCCCCGCTGTCGCGGCCGCCCCCCCCCCCAGCAGGAGGAGGAGGAGGAGGAGGAGGAGGAGGAGGAGGAGGAGGAGGAGGAGGAGGAGGAGGAGGAGGAGGAGGAGGAGGAGGAGGAGGAGGAGGAGGAGGAGGAGGATGAGGGGGGCTGGCAGCTGGCAGGAGCGACGCCTCGCTCTCGATTGTCTCACAGGGACCATCCTCCCTTTTGCCCTCTCGGGCGCTCAGCCCCGGAGTAGACCTGGGCATTCGCCCAATAATTCGTCAAGATTGGAATTTCCCCTCGGGATCCCATCGGCCCCTTCACTGAGCCCTTCGGGCTCGGGCTAGATGTGTCGGCGAGGACCCTTCCCCGTCGCCGCGGCTGGACTCGCCTCTTACAGCCGTAGGCATCACGTGGGAAATCAGCCAGAACCCACTGACGATATGAAGACCACGGCGCGTCTGCGAGGACAAACTTGAGGACTAGCACGAGGACCTAGTACCCGTCCTGAGGACCCAGAGGACCAGCTCGGGACCGAAACTGCCTTAGCGGACCTGCGCGAGCGCTTTGCCATCGTCCAGCGAAAGGGCACGCGCGCCGTATTCCACCAGCTTTCGCAACGCATGCGGCGCCCGTACGAGGACGCAGCCCTCGTCGAAGTCGCCGCCTTCGTGAAATTCAAGTTCCAATCAACCGAAGGCGGCACGGCAGGAGAGGACGCGGCTGCTGCAGCTTGGCACGACCTCCACCACGAAACACTAGCCGGGTGGGTCCCCGGACGCCCCCTGGAGGAGCGCGCCGCGGACCCGCAATGGGCGACGCTCCTCAGCGCCACCGCCTCCAGAGACCAGCCATGAATGGCACTCTCCTGGCCTTCCCCTCCGTTCCTACCTGCCCTTTTTTCCATTCCTGTTCCTGCTTTCCCTCATCGTCCGTGTCCCTCCCCCCCACAAAGGGTCGAGGAGGGTCGGGTCGAAATAACGGTCGGGGGGGGGGGTAAGGTGGGCGATGAGCTCCGAGTCAGAATAGTCGTCAGCCACGGCGTTGCAGCGCGACCCGCCTAGCGAATGATCCGACAGGACAATCAGTCGCATTCCCACTGCGCATTCACTTCCGCCAGAACCATCCCCTCGCTCGTTTTCCTCCCTTCCATTTCCCATTGCACTATGGGTGGCAGCCAATGTTGGCGATTTCAGAAGTGGGTCCACCCCGGCTTTTGCTGTCGAGCGCGCCTTGCACTGCTTCCAATCGGGGGATGGCGTCCATTCTGAGGGTTGCGGTTCGCCACCAGCCCCAATCAACTGTTGCATCGCCATGCCTGTTCGGCTCACGTTTGAATCCGTTTGGATTCTGTCTCGTCCTTCGCGTCAGTGTTCCTCTCACTTTTTTTCGTCCTCTCCATCCCGCATTGCATTCTGGGCAATAGCCATTGCCGGCGATCTCAGAGGTGGGGTCCACCTCGGCTTTCGCTGTCGAGGATCCGCATTGCACTTCTTCCGATCAGGGGATGGCGTTGCTCATGGGGGGTGGGCGGTGGAGTGATCCGCGACGAGCTTTGATCTACGGATGCAGCCATGTTGGTGCGACACGATCGTTACCAATTGAGGGCTGCGACATTTCACCAGCCCCAGTCAACCGTTACACCGCCATGCCCGTTCAGCTCATGTTTGGCTCCTTGCTCCCCTCCAATCCTTCGTCTCGCCGATTGCACCGCCGTCGCCGTCCACCCCTTCCTTCGAAATCGCCGAGCAAGAGCAGCAGTAACAGGAGTTGGTGTCTCAAGACGGCACAGCTACCGCACCCTGGAGGACCAGGCTGCTGAGTCCCTGGGGCCCCGCGGCGCGCCGCCACAGAGTGGGGCGGCGGTGCGGTCCAGCATTGCGCTGCAGTCAATCCCATCACAGTTTTCAGGTTCCCGGAAGATTCTCCGGGAACCCCAAAGCGGGCAATAACAACAACAGTAGGAAGGCGCCTGACCCTGCGTCGCAACAGGAGCAGTAACAACAGTAGCATCCGTCTCAAGACGCACAGCTGTCTTAAGACGCGCAGGCGCGTGAAACGTCGCGGGGAAACCCACCGCCGCGGAAGGCTTAAACCGCCCCCACGTTCGGTGGACCCCGCCAAAGGCGGTCCCCAACCCACCGTTTTGGGAAGCTGCTTGCAGGTGAGGGTTCCCGACGTTGATTTGGGAAACGTTTGTCGGGGTTCCTATGAGCAGAGGGAAAGGCTTCAGCGCTTTCCACTTTGGCGAAAGTGGCCCCTTGCCGCCGCCGCCACGCCCTCCCCTTCTCATTTCGAGGCTATGATCGGTCCCCTACCCCTCTTCTCGCTACCGTCTGCTGTCCTTTACCTTTTGCTGTCTACCCCAGCCGGCGATTCCTGGAGCGATTGCTCCAGGAGATGCCTGACTCTTACTTGGATCACCCCCTCAGGGCCGACCGGCCCTGGGGGGGGGGATGGCAGCATCCGCTGGATCTTCATGCCGCTAGGAACCAGGAACCAGGATGTGGGGGGGGGTATAGGAAGAGGGAGGAGAGGGAGGTGGAGGAGGATAAGGAGGAGGAGGAGGAGGAGGAGGAGGAGGAGGAGGAGGAGGAGGGGAAGGAAGAGGAGGAGGAGGAGGAGGATGAGGAGGAGGAGGAGGAGGGAGGAGGAGGAGGAGGAGGAGAATAAGGAGGTGGAGGAGGAGGAAGAGGAGGAGGGGGGGAGAGGAGGCAGGAGGAGGAGACGGAGGAGAAGGAAGAGGGGATAAGGAGGAGGAGGAGGAGGAGAAAGACGAGGAAGACAATGGGGGGATGATGATGATGATGATGATGATGATGATGATGATGATGATGATGATGATGATGATGATGATGATGGTTGTGATGATGATGATACTGATGATGGTGATGGTGATGATGGTGATGGTGATGATGATGGTGATGATGATGCTGGTGCTGCTTCTGCCGCTGCTGCTGATGATGCTGATGATGGTGACGATGCTTGTAATGCTGATGACGATGATGATGATGATGCTGCTGCTGATGATAGCTGTGATTCTGATGGTGAGGATTCTGATCATGATGAGGATGGTGATGCTGACCTTGATGATGATGGTACTAGTTAATATTATTTGGATCAGTATCCTATTTCCAACCATTATTCTGCTGCTGATGACGATCAGGATTATGATGAGGATGCATATCATCATTACGCTGATGATGTTGATGATGATACAGATGATGATGTTGAATGTGCTGCTGAATATGGTAATGGGGATCCTGATGATGCTGATGCTGTTGGTTATGATGATGGTAATGGTGGCGGTGTTGATGATGGTGGTGACGATGATGATGGTGATGATGATGATGACGATGATGATGATAATGATGATGATGATGATGATGATGATGATGATGATGATGATGATGATGATGATGATGATGATGATGATTATGACGATGCTGATGAGGATGATGATGAGGCTGATGCTGATGGTTCTGATGGTGCTGATGATTGTAATTATGATGATGATGCTGCTGATGATGATGATGATGGTGATGATGCTGCTGCTGCTTCTGCTGCTGCTGCTGATGATGATGATGATGATGATGGTGGTAGTGGTGGTGGTGCTGCTGATGATGATGATGATGATGACGGTGATGGCACTTATGCTGATGATGCTGAGGAGGAGGAGGAGGAGGAAGAGGAGGGGGAGGAGGAGTTGTAATGAATGGCCTGTAGTGACTGGGGAATAGTAGGTCTCCATCCCTGCCTCCCTCGAATCCAATGCGCGCTGCTCGTGGTTTGCATGCCATGCTGTCAGTCCGCTCGTACGCGCTGTCCGGAACATATCGCTTGTTGTCTCTGTGCCAAATCATTATCGGGATTCAGCATGGTAGTTTGATTAAGTTCGCGTTGTCACGAAGGGGAGGCTAGATACGTACGGAGCGGCCTACCCGTTGCCTTATCCATTCAGAGTCACGGCGTTCGGGTTTATCATTCACCACGCTGGAGACTGCCACAAGACACCCGATTTCATGACGCCTTCGACTTTCCAGCAGACGCATCCGAAGTACGCATCTTTGCCAGAGAGAAACGAGGTGGGCCCACCACGCGAAAACTCACAAGTGCTAGCCAGCGCGCGGGGCGGCGTCGAGACGGCGACGGGCGCCCCCAGGACCGAGCTGGGATCCGTCGGGAACAGGGCAGGCCATGGAAGGGTGCAGCAGCCAGGGCACAGGCTCAGGCTGGGGACAGTCTGGAAGGCGGACTTTCACGGAAACTGCGTGCGCGCGGCCAGGACACGGGACCAAGGCAGGAACACTCGGGAGCAGGGCGGGTGATCATAGCCGCGTGCAGCCAACGCACAAGGCCAGGATGGGGAACAGTCAGTACGAGTGCTGGCCGCGGGAGCTGTTTGGAAGTGGGGGCAATCCAGCACATACCGAAACGGAACGCCTCGAGTACAAAGCGTGCTTCTGTCAGAATTCGGAACGTGGGGGCAGGCTGGGAACAGGAGGCGAAGGTTTCAGTGGACGAGATGGGGGTGTGCAAGTGGCATAGTCAGAAGCAACGGGCCGAGCAGCGCTGGAAGCGAGAACATTTGCAGCACCGCGGTGTTTTGGGGCACTCCTGGCGAAAGGGCGTGCCATGCCTTTCCAGCTAACGTCGACCAACCAACAAACGACACCACCGCACCTACGGCCTTCCATGTTGCGCTACGGCCTATCGGGGGCCGTAGCGTATATACCACGCAGACGCGCACGCCAGATTTCCTGGTATACGCTAAGCCCCGTGGGGCCGTAGGTCGGGTGGTGTCGTTTATTTTCTGGTCCAAAACGGTGTGACCCGACGTCCAGGCCCGCGCCTGCCCGGCGCGGTGTTCTTCGACATCGACGGGGTGGCGGCGCAGCACCCCGCCGGGCTGAAGCACATGCTGCCCAGCGAGGCGCTGCGGAGGGGTGGGGGGTCCATGGGCCAGAAGCATGCCTCTGGCCCATACGGCAGCTTCGTGTCGTGTCGACGCGACGACGGCCCCAGCGCGGACGTTCAAGGTTGAACGCCGCCGGTGGTCCAGAATCGGTCAATATAGAACGATCTGGCGATCAAAAAGCAGCCGATCGTGCAAGGCTGAACGATCCACGAGGTGTCAGAGGCCAGCGCCGAAGTCGTGACGACATGAACCTGCCGTACTCGTCTTCTCTTACCCCCGCCCCGCGAACACTGAGGGAAGCGGTACGTCCGAGCATCTGTGCGCGTCCCAAGCAGGATGAGGGCTGGGGAACTGGAAGAGCGGGGGAGAACCCGCTCCGTCCCTCTCTAGACTTGCTTCGACGTTTGCGTTTCAAGAGGAGGACGAGGAAGGAGAGGAGGAGGGGGACGACCAGGCGGCCGAGTCGTGCAACCGCGGACGGGAACACGGGCCATCATTGGGCCAATCTCGTTCGAGGACGGGCCAGGCCATGCCTACGCGAAGCGTGGCGCAAAACTGTTGACCGACCTCCAAAGGCATCCAAGTCTTGTGATGCTTGCCAGCCAGCACACGAGAGACAATACATTTCTGCCTGCTACGGGCTGGGGGGTGTTCAGAAGGTCCCAGGCAACGGCCTTTACTGAGCTTACAGTTGGCAACCTGACCAATGGACACTTGATAGGAGCCGCAAATGGTACACACCAGGGCCCCACCGGTCACCAGAACCTGGCGCCCATTGAGCTCGACGATAGCTTCATCGAGCGGCACACTGACACCCTCGGGTCCCTGGTTCCCATAATCGGAACCCTCGCCGCCAAGGAACTCGTCTGACAAATCCAACGCCACCTGAGCAGCACGGGTGCGAATAGGTGGGGCCGCCTGGAGCTGGAGGTCACCGAGGGCCTAGAGCCTCTGTTGGGCCGTGGGCTCACGAACTGTGAACAACATCTTATTGAGGCTAGCACGGGTCCTAGCGACACCCAAGCACGCTTTACATTGGGAAAGTGGTCCCCTGAGTACCACGCTGTGCCTCGTGAGCGCTACATAGGCCATGGGGGCCTGGACATGCACTGCACGCGCGGGCCGATCACTCAATGCATCACGATGTGTCATCTTGCACGCGCGCCATTCCATGAGCTTTGCATCAATGCGAGCCTCACGAATCGTACAGTCGTGCGACATCACGGGCGAACTGGCCACAGCATGGGACGATGCACCAGCCTTGGCAAAGTAGTCGGCCCACTCGTTGCCAAGAACATACTCCCATGGGTGCCTATCCATTTCCAAGAACTCTGCCTCGGTCTTGTGGGCAGGACACCAGTGAAATTAGGGCGGTTGCCGCCGCTGTACTAAACTGAACACAGCACGCCAGAGGTCGGCGTACTGTGATTGGGCGTCGGCCAACAGGGCTGCCCACGACAAGTCCTCCTGAGCCAAGCTCGAGAGGTCCGTCAACACCAGCGAAACTGCAGGTAGTAGCTTGACTGCATACAACAGCGCCATTCGCTCCGTTCTGCCCAATGTCTGGATAAGCCCGAAAGTGAACCATACGCAGCACGCGCAGGGAGCCCATTATCACCCAACTGACAGAAGCCCCACCCACATCCACTGAGTTCTGGCCATGTCGGGGCTATGCCATACACGTCCGTGTACACCACCATCGTCCAACTCATCCGATCCGACTCCCAATCACCCCAGAACAGTTCCAAAGCCTCTTGAGGATCACGTTGGAGGAACTTCGGGCACAACGTCATACACATGCATATTTGTATCCAGTCCCAGTCGGGAGGGCTCGACTTGATCCCGCGATCTTTTAGATATTGTAGACGTGGTCCATCTTGGGGTCCAACTGGGGGTCCTCGTCAAGGGTATCCTGGTAGAAACTCGGGCAGTCAAAGAACTCGTGTCCGAACGTGGCCTTCTCAGCCGAGCACCCTGCACACTGGGCGGGTATGTCGGACCCAGCCCGATGTTGCATGTGTCTGGTCCAGATCGAGCCTGGCCAACGCTTGCGTAGAGCGCCAGCAAAACGTTGATTTCGGATTGCAGCGTTGGGTCCACCCAAACATTTACGTAGTAGACGCACCCATACCCTCTCATCCCCTTACGGTGATGTCCCTGTGATGTGCCTCGCTACATCTTCCCTGTCACCCTTCCCCCCCCGCTGAACAAGTTCGCAAGCATATTTAGGCGGAAATAGTAGCGCATCTATGGCGTAGTTCTCATCATCATGCCACAAAGTACTAGACACCAGCCTCCACCCGATACGCTCTAACGTCATCCAAATAACCTCTAGAGGCCCCCTCACTTTCGACCAAGCTTTAGGACACCTCATCTTCTCCACCAGACAGCCCCAAGCCCTCTGAAGTTTGCCTAGCGAAACACGTTGGCCCCATACAACGCTAGCGTTTGCTTTGATGGGCTCCATAGTAACGTGATACATGGGGTCGTATAATCTGTCCCGCTGCGTGGTCACATGCAACGTAAGCGATGGCGAGCTGGACGCCCGTCCGCACAAAATGCCAGCCACCATTTCGCATTTGAGTAAGCTCGGCTGTACTGGCGCCCGATGCAGCCACCTCATGGCCAGCGACAGGAAGCAGGCCAGTGGGTCACAGAGTCGTGACCTGCCCAGGTGCAGCTCTCTTAAGCATGCGTAGACGAGACAGACGATCACGCGGTTTGGCGAGTCGAGCCTGGGCTTGTTTCCGAACGGGTCTCACCGAACACATTTCGTGACCGGGGTTTCGGACCCATTTCGTGGCTGTGAGCTTTAGCTGCCTCGTCTTGCTACGAAAAAGGATGACATAGTATGCTTAGTGGTTGCAAGCCAGCCCGACTTCCCAGGCTTGATAAGCAGGCCTAGCTCTCGCACTCCCATTGCAAAATGATAGACTGCACGATGTAGCTCCCCTGCTTCTCTCAGGCCGGGGCCAATCTATTGGAAAGTGCTATCGTCAACAGGTGCACGTGGCATGACTCTGCTGTGCTGCGCGCTGACGCGGTGTATAGCGCAATGCGTGAGTATGGTAAGTGATGCAGTGGCGTGCGTTCATTCAGCCAACATACATTGTCGCGAACTCGTCGGTCTACTCCAGCTGCCATGTGCTTTAGCCACCCTTGGCTGTACATGGATTTCGAGAAGCAACCGCCTCGACCCCATTGGAAAACGCATGGCTTGTGCCTCTCGAAAAAGGGCAGGGGCTAGCATCGTCTCAAAACACTTCCACATGTCCAGCACATTGGTAATGTAATGCTCGCCCAATAAATGTGCCATTGCAGCATGCAGATTGTGCTCGCACGCAGATTAGCTATACCAGTCGCCCCTCCTGTTGCCCCATTTGTGCGCGCTGCCGTGCTTGAGTACCCAAGTGCGCGATATAGGACGCCTGCTACGCTACCACGCACGTACCATCCTCTCCATAAGTGCAATTAAACGCGTGCCACCATCTGGTTTCGACAACATCGCCGTTACGTTTACGATTCTGTGATAAGGCCAAATCAACGAACGCTCACATGCCATGTATCGTGCGCGGACCACCTCCAACCCATCATCAGGCACGTACCAAAACGTACGAGGATACAATCTAGTGTACCCCGCCGCCGTGCACCACGAACATGTCGGGGTCGCATCGCGCAGCGCTTGCACTGTGATGGCAGCAACCACCTCCCAATGCTGGTGACCACGGGGCAGTTGCATGCGCTGCGTGTCATGGCATGTTCGCACGGATCTCCACTTCCACATCTCACTATCGGCCAACTGAAAAGGCTGCGTGCGATCAATCTGTCCAACCATCAGCTGCAAGACCTGCGCCCTTGATGCACGATGGGCCTTGTCGGCGCCGCTGCGGGGGGCCTTGTCGGCGCCGCTGCGGGGATCGCTGGGCCCCAACTGCAATTGAGTAAAATCATCAGCCCGCTCCGCAATAACCAGTGCACAATCGTACCTAATGCAGGCTGCACCAGACATTCAGGACCAGACATACAACAAACTCTCGCGCGCCCTCGTCAAAAAAGCTGCATGACGCGGTCTGTCGCCTGAATGCGTCGTCTGAAGAAACACTTCAGATCTCGAAGCCCAGTATCCTGTGACGTATCATCCACGTACTTTGCCGTTCATGGTGCCGCGTAGCCGGGTGAACGCAATGCGCCGCTCGTCTTTCTGATCCCATCTGCTTCCGGGTGCTGGTTGATCAACGTGATCCAATACTCGCGCGCTCTCATAATGTGTGTTGGCCCACCTCGGCGCCGTGATCCACGCTCTGGTGAGAGACCCATACTGTAACCTACTCCGCTTACCATCTCACTTGGCCTCCGCCATCTTGGGTCGAATCGGACCCCCTCGGCCTTGATCTGGTTGGGCATTTTTTATCAACAAAATCACATCGGCCAAGTATCTCCAACTCCAACCTATCAATGACCACGCCCCATGCATGTCGCAATCCAGGCCCATCCGCAACATTATGAGCGCTCTCCCGTGCGTCATGCCAAGGCACCTGCAGTCGAGAACATCCAATGTCGGGTGCTTTCGGCACTTGCTTCGGCTCGATCGGTATTTTCGTTCAGCATTCATTGTGCCCATGCCGCGCGGGTAGGTGCACGGGGGCATGGACAGGTAGCGCCGACGCAATGTCAATCTGTGAAACCATGAGCTTGGTCGCCAACTTCTCAGACACCACTTACTAATCAAAAATCGAGCTTTCCGTGGCGTTCGTGGTGCGAGAAGTGATCTCCGAAGGTATAATGCAAACTGCCCTCAGCTGATCCAACCATGCCTGCCCATCAAGGTGTCCGATGTAACATTCCAAGCGCCTCCGGCAATCCAGCATGAGCCCACATCATTGAGGCGACCCAGATAACAAGCCAGAGTGTACAACAGATCTTGGTTCGTATCATCCAGCCCAAAAGAATTTTTGAAATGCGCAGATATAGCCGCCGCGCCTCCTGCGATCCCCGTGATATCTTTGCTGCTGCTA